ACATAGATCAGTTACAAAGCTGGTGACATTTTAACAAAAAAATATATCTTACAACTTGTTCATTTAGAAAGGTAAGGAAGCGCTCTTTATTCACCGAACCCTCGAAGATATCAAGTGCAATGATACCCTCACATGTAAGAGCTGGCAAGACCGAATACCGCTGACTGCGGACAAAAGCAGCACGGCAAACACATGCTCTACCCATCGCAGCCCAACCCTGGCTACGCTGGTTGGTCCGATCATCCACACTTGCTTCGTCCAACCAAACACAATAATCAGCTGGAATATCCGCATATGCGGCCTGCCAAGTCGCGCGTAACAATTCATTCCTTTCTAATGCTTCATTTGCTACATGCTTGCGCGTCATTGAAAGTCGGTGGAGTGTGCGGGAGAGAGTTGAAATAGAAGCAAAAACATCTCGCCTATCCAGAAGTTCATCTTGAATTTCATCTAGGTAAATCTTTGGCCGCGCGTCAATCAAAGACTCTATAAAGTTCATATCTCCCATGTTTAAAGAACGGCTGGCGCCATGTGGCCCGCGTGTCGACGGTTCTCTGAGAGTGTGGTAGTCACGGTGGTAAGAGAGGATGTTGTAGATTGTCCGGACACTACATCCAACAAGGCCTGAGATTTCCTGCGCCGAGAGATGTTGCTCATCGTGCCAAACGATGATCCGCGCACGCATCTTGTTCGATACTTGAGGCGCCATGAGAGTTGGCCATGAGGGGTTCAAAATCCCCAATGTGCTCAAATCTGGGATTGAATGCGTGACGATCTACAGGGTCTGTAACGGACACACAAAGCCAAACATGGTTTTCACGATCTCTGAGTGCAAACGGCAGTGCAAAACACTGTAATGACGAGGATATTAATTAGAAAGGAGAGCCGGATGGAATGGTGTAATGGGGCGTGACAGAAGAGCAGTGCTAGTGAACTTTTGAAGACTCTGTACTTCCCCAACATCTCCCCAACCCCAAGTCCAAACGCTCCTCAACCTCCCAATCAAGATCAACGACAAACACATTTTCACAATCCCCCTCCCTCTAATCACCTTCCTCACCTGCGTTCAGCGTCAGCGAGGCTTAGATCGTTAGTCTAAGCACCATCGAGCAGGGCTAGGATTTCTTCGATTTGGAGGGATGAGCTGCCTGTTCGAGAGGCTGGTGGACGGATCGGCACCTGGTGGCAGTTTCCCAATGACAGGAAGGGTGGATTGTCAGTTGTGTTGTTGAGCTTGGTCAGAGGCAGACGCGGAGGTACGGCTCAACGAAGACCGATTACGACGCGAATCCATGAACCCTCCATTCGAGTGAATGCCGCTCTTTGAGTTTTTGCACGTGCAGACACCTCCGTCGAGATCGGCATGTTCGTCGTCTTGCTCGGTGGAAACAAAACGCCAAATCCTCCTCTCGAATGCTGGGATTGAGAGTGAGAGGGAGAGGGAGACCCCGACAGAAAGATAGCCATAGTCCCGCCCCCACTGAGACGCCTAAGCAGCGCCAAGCCATAACTCCTCTGTAACCCGTCTCCATCGCCAACCACACCAGCCTCCACAAGCCTCTTGATCACCTTCCTCGCCGTCCTCCTTTGCCTCCTCTCCTTGCCTCCGCCTCGGCTGCTTCAGTCGCTTTGATTTTTTGGATGGTGGGTATGTCTGATGGAGCGGCGTCGAAATCAAAGTTTGGGTAGTTGGCGTTGTTGTAGGCGTGCTGCCACTACTACTGCGGTGAGGACAACGGGATAAAGGCGCATCCTCAGCGTCATCGGCGGGGTGTTGGATAGGTGGTCGTCAAACCCGACACTTCTCATTCCGCCCGCCGTCAATAGACTGGGCCGTTCGTTCCCATTCCCCTTTTCTTCCTCCTCCAGCAGGGATTGGATTGCAGTATGTGCGTCTCCCCCCATTCATTATCGAAGAGTCCGCTGAGAGACCCTGCTCGTCATCGCGCGGTGGGATGGGGTTGATGGCAGGGTCGTAAGACTCTGGCCGTTCATCTGCTAATGATGTCGAGCTGGGCCGTCGATTCGGTGTGTAGACTGTCAGCGGAAGATTTGGGCTGTGTCGGTCGATGGGAAGGGCATTGTCATTTGGCGGGAGAGATCGTTGAGTTGGAAAGTGGAGGGAAATTTGGACGGATTGTGATTGTGATTACGCGCAGCGTCCAGCTTCATCGCCCCTCGAAGGACGTGTTGTCATTGTTCACGGCTCTGCGGAAATTGGTGTCAGATCGATCCATTGAATAACGTGTGAAGCAGTACATACCTCAGAGAAGTGGGCCTTAGGCCGAAAGGAAAGACGGTCCCGTCACGGCTGACGAAGGCGTGACGAGCACAGGGTGCAGCCAAACAAACCCGAATCGGGGTATGGTGAGAGATCGTGAACGATCCATCTGCAGAACGCGTGCCCACTTCACGATCTATCTGCAGAACGCGCGCCCACAACCATATGCGAAGCGAGCACCCACTCTTGCCGAGAAGATCCCGCCCCACGCGTGCGCGAAGAGAGCACTGCACAGCGCACGCGAGCCGCCAGTCCTCACTCTCCCGGGTCCCCCGCCCTCGCGGGATGTGAACAACCCAAAGGATGGACCACAATGGTCTGGCACAGGTGAGCACTGCGTTCACAGCGCTGGACAGGCTGTGGAGCTCGAACGAGGATCTGACAACTGCGGCAGCACCCAACCAGGAACCGAAAGAGTGGAGAAAGTGGTAGGTTTTTCTGATCCTATTCAGGATCCAGGATCCCAACCCTTCCTCCACCCGACCCTTGCACCACCAAGGCCTTTGTTTGGTCTCTAGGACCCTGCCTATGCGGGAGCGTCTTGTGGGAGCTTGGAGTGTCTTTTTTACGCTTTTAGGCCCATCTTTTCGTACATCATTTACCTTTTGCCCCCAGCCAAATTTCTAAGAACACTTCGTGCCCGAAAAAAAGACGCTCCGACCTAAATCTACAGACGATCCCCCATCAGATCCCCCACGGCAATCTGGCCCCCTCCCTCGGCCTCTTTTTCAACATCACCTGTGCCCCCCTGTGCTCCCCCCCACACCTGTGTTGCTCAATCACTGCAGTTCTCAACAAGCTGCACCTCCTGTGAATACTCGAGCCCAGGAATACACAAAGAGGTGTAGCTTGGGGGAGGAGACACAATTAAAAAACAAAGAACATATGATATTGTGGTAAGTTCTCACTCAATTTTTATGTTCTGGCACTTACAAAAACTATCTAGTTATCAGAAAATACAAGCCCCATTTTCGAGAAGCTGCGCGTTGACGATCCAACTCGTCGGAATTTTTTTGGGGGAGACATCACCAAAAAAACACGGATAATGCAATATTATTGTAAGTTCCCATTCGATTTTTACGTTCTAGGGCTCATAAAAACCGTCTAGCTAGTGCGAAACACGAGCCCCGTTTGCGAGAAGCTGCGCGTCGACGATCCAACTCGTCGATTTTTTTTTAGGGGGAGACATCACCAAAAAACACGGATAATGCAATATTATTGTAAGTTCTTATTCGATTTTTACGTTCTGGGGCTTATAAAAACCGTCTAGTTAGTGGGAAACATGCTCCTTCTTCGTGAGAAGTTTTGCATTGACGATCCAACTCGTCGAAATGCTTTTGGGGGCGACATCATCAAAAATCAAAGAGCATGTCATATTATCGTAAGTTCTTACTCAATTTTTATGTTCTGGGGCTCATTATAATCGTTTAGCTAGTGGAAAACACGGGCGCAGTTTGCGAGAAGCTGTGCATTGACGTTCGAACTCGTCGAAATGCTTTTGGGGGCGACAACACCAAAAAACACAGAGCATGTCATATTTTGTAAGTTCTTACTCGGTTTTTACGCTCTGGGGCTCATTGGAACCGTTTAGCTAGTTGGAAATATGGGCCCAGTTTGCAAGAAGCTGCGCCTTGACGTTCGAACTCGTCGGAATTATTTTTTGCAGATATCACCAACAAACACTAATAATGCAATATTATGGTGAGTTCTGATTCGATTCTTACGTTTTGGGGCTCATAAGAACCGTCTAGTTAGTGGGAAACACGGGCCTTGTTTGCGAAACACTGCGCGTCGACGTTCGAGCTCATCGCAAGAGTTTTTTGGGAGACATCACCAAAAATGGCAGATAATGCACTATTATGGTACGTTCTTACTCGATTTTTACGGTTTGGGACTCATAAGAACCGTCTAGCCAGTGGGAAACGTGGTCCCTGTTTGCGAGAAGCTGCACCTCGCCGTTTGAGCTTGTCGCAAGTTTTTCGGGGGGGCATCACCAAAAAGTACAGGCCATGCAGTATTATCGTAAGTTCTTCTTCAGTTTCTATGTTCTTGGGCTCAAACGAATCGCCTAGCTAGTGGGAAACACGGTCCCCATTTTCGAGAGGTGGCGCGTCGATATTTGAGCTCGTCACAAGCTTTTTCGGGGAGACATCACCAAAGAATACAGGTCACACAATAATATTGTAAGTTCTTACTCAATTTCCACGTTCTTGGGCTCATAAGAACCGTCTAGCTAGTGGGAAACACGGGTCGTATTTGCGAGAAGCGGCGCATCGACATTCGAGCTCGTCGCAAGCTTTTTCGGGGAGACTTCAGCAAAAAACACAGATAATGGGATATTATTGTAGGTTCTTGCTCGATTTTTATATTCTGGGGCTCATAGGAACCATCTAGCTAGTGAGAAACACAGGCCCAATTTTGCAGAAGCTGCGTGTCGACATTCCAGCTAGTCTCAAGTTTTTTCTGGGGGTCATCACCAAAAAACACAGTCAGTATGTCATATCATTGTAAAACATGTTAATGTTGTCATATTTTTTTGTAATACATGTTAATACTGTGTGATGTACCCCCATATTGCTAACATCCAAGTAACAGGAGATTGCTCAGGGGGAGGAGGGAGAAATGCAGCACAGATACTGTTTGGCAAGGTGGCCTTGGCAGGGCAGGAACAAACAAGGGTCCAAAAAGGGTCGAAAAGACCCTCCAGGAACGTGAGCCAAACAAAGCGGCAAACGCCGCTGCGCGAGCGGAGCGTCTTTATCCCGAGAGACGCATCCGTAGCTCAGGAAGAACGTGGGGTTGTGTATGAGATAGGGAAGGAGAAAGGGGGTACGCTCCTGCCTTGGTTGAGAACAAGGGTAAAACGTCGCAAAGGATATACGATAGCCCTTCTGTTGTATTCGCGCATTGGACGTCTGGGTACCGGAGAGACAATGATGGCGTACACACCTCAAAAAGACCACTTCTTTCGATTCTCAACGTTTTCAGCATATCAACTGTACGTCTCCAAATCAAGGTGACCCCAATCTTCGAGGCCTGATGAAGTCGTCGACTCCGGATCCGCAGTGCTAAGATGGTGATCACTGTAAGTTAGACCTGATTATTGAATCAAAAGAATAAGATACTTACTTCATGACTTTGCTCGCTTGACGAGCTGATGCGACTAGTCGATAGTGCAGGTTCTTGAGTACATCGTTGACGATGGGGAAGAAAACAAACGTTGGTCAACACGAATTTGTTTTTGTCCTCGACCACCAGCTCGCACATTACCTACCGTTCGCTTGCCTCGAATTTACACTCAAATTTTTGTTGACATGTGAGACTCAAGCTGTGGTCGACACTCGCTGAGGTGAGCTCAATCTGTCATTGGCAATTGCTCCTTGACTGTCAACCTAACAGAGGAATTGAGAGATCACGCTCACGCACAAGCTACTAAGCTGGTAAAGGCTTTGGAAAGTCCACCGCACGAGGGATATTCGATACGGGATGGGTCTATAGCAGCAGTGCGTATCCATCCGTATTCGTTCAGCTACTTTTTCACTTACAACCCTCGTTTCTCTCCTCAGTGAGGCTATGTCGGCTCCCTCGCATTCCACAAACGCTTCTCCGCCGTATTCCTCGTCCGCGGATAGTTTGAAAACCCTGTCGCCGCAATCAACCACCCCACAAGGGAGATGAGAGATGGACGATAAACAGAGAGGGAGTTTGGTTGTAAGTATCATGGCCACATCATGGCTACGTATACGAAGTGTACGGTACTTGCCCCTCTTTCACCAATGTCTGGAAAATGTTCATGACGCTTTCAGGACGATGATTGATGGACCGTAGGTCTTCATGGCGTAGAGGAGAGGCTGGTCGTGCGACGGTGAACGTGTTGCGCCGTTTGTCATTGTTCAGGTGAAGCTTCCGACCGTCACCAGGGGGTGGTTCACCCACCCATACCAACTTACTTCTGCGGCGGTCGGCTGCCCTGTGTCTCGTGACAACACTGGCCGTGTATCCGCTCACCTATATCTCACCACTTCGCGGCCCCACCAACGGCTCACCCCAATGAAGACAATCCTGTGGTAATGCGATAATCCATCTGCTGTCAGGCTTATGTTGAGTGAATGTTGGACCAACCCAAAAGAGCACAACGTACGATTAGCGGTGGAATGAGTAGGATCGGAGTTCTACACTGGGTCGTGGATGTATCGAACGGTACCACGAGAATATTTCTTGCTCTTGGTACGACATAACCGCTGCCGCTTAACGATGAGCTAATGGAGTGGTCTTTTGTAGGATCCACGACGTAGCAAGGCCTTTGCAGCGACAGCGAGGAACCAAGATCGACCTCACGACGCCATTCTTCGTCACCTGCCGCAGGGATACTCTTCCCTCATTCAGCTAAGGCCCTCTTCAATGTCAAGTATCGTCCTACAGCACACGAAGCATAATCTACGCTCGTGCAGATCAGCGACAACAATACTTGGGTATGGAGAACCGGGAGGGCAAAGCTCACATCATTCCAGGCGAGATGGCGCAACATTTGTCCATTCTTACCCCACCTTGGATATCCCCCATGAGCTCGTCAAAGGAGAATACACCGCAGGCGCGCCCATCATCCTTCAAGTATCGCTGGCACGTGACGCAGACGAAGAAGACGATGGTGACCAAAACGTTGTTGCACCTTTCTATCCCCTCAAGAAGTTGGCGAATTGGTGGCTTGTTGTCGGAGATCCTGCCTCCCGCCAGCTCCTCGTCATCAAGCGAGTCACGGTGACGAAGAGCCTTGCCGTTAAACTTGAGTTTACGTTGCCGAAGGGCACTCACTCACTGAAGCTCTACGTCATTTGTGACTCTTACATTGGTGCTGACCACGACATTGGTCTCGAACCCATTGAGGTGCTTGAAGGAGAGGATAGCGACAGTGATGAGGATATGAATAGTGATGAGGACGAGTAGACTTCGGGGCTTATGCATTATGATCCGTGTATTTGTATCTTTTTTTGTAGTTGCTCAATTATTTCTTGTTGTTTTCGTTGAGAATGGAGCTGGTCATCGTTTCATAATGCGCCACCCGTTCTCGGTATCATTGTATAGAGGTTGTTTCACGAAAATAGTCAACGCTGGTTATGGGAACCTCCCCTTCGAGGGCACTTGTTAACGCGGCGTGGAGGGTATGTGAAAGAGTGCGAAGAACAGTTGAAAGATTACATTGATAAGACTATATACATTTGCGTGATGGGACATGAAATTAGATTACACATTGTAGATCATTCAGTTGGAGAGCGTGAAGAGAGGAGGTATCAACATTATTGTTCCGCAAAGATTCCAAGACCGACTTCAGAGCCTTAAACTGGTTTACCTTGTCCTTTTTCTACAAGTTTGGAATCAGAAAAACCGAAATGGGGAGCTTCTAGACGAGAACTCGCACTCGCCTGGTACGTAACCACGCGACCCGACGTACTCGACACAGCGTAGAAGAGGGTTTCCTTGGGGCATGCTGTCAAAGAACCCAATTACCATCCATCAATCGTCAAGACTGAACGGATTTCCTTGCCTTGTTCACCTTGATACTGAAGCTTGTAGGGCTGAATCCCGATAGCCGCCTTCATCTTTCGGCCCTTTCCAGCCTGTTGACGAGTAAGTGACGGAAGCTAGAACGAAGACGATCCCACAACTACCGGCATCACTTTAGATTTGACGATGTCCGCTATTCCCAGTCCTACAAAGCATACAATCTTGGGGCGGTGTGTGGCAATTTTGGCGAGGAGAGCAGGAACTCCCGCTAATTGCTCGGCTTGGGATAGCTCGCTTTGCTACGGATGATGAGATCGTCGGTGACTGGGAACTTTGCATGAGAAGTACCGGTACCTCAGCAGTTGGACGATCAACGAGATTCGTCTATCATTGGAGATGTGAGTACCATTGTCGCGCTTGATAGAAGGAGAGAAGGCGTACCATCCCGATCGAAAACTGTTCTGGGAGAATGAAGTCTTCTTGAGGACGGAGAAGTCGTGTAGTGAAGCCTGATTCGTACAGGCAGCTCCAGAAGTGGTTTGTTGGGCCACCAAAGTGGTGCCCTATCTCAGCGGACGTCTGACCTGGGCTGAGAACGGTCATAAGCGTGTCAAGAGTGGCAGTCCGACGAACTCACTTAATACCACAAAAAACCACTAAACGAGAGTGTGAGGGGTTGGTTCGGAATGTTCAAGCTATTGACTGACTTACCTTCTAACCCACTCCGCAAGTGATTCCGAAGTTCCCGCAGGTGAGCGTACGTAGACGGCTCGGCATACCCCCGTTTCTGTTTCTTGGGGGAAGAGCCAGGTTCTAAACGACCGACCGATTGATTGGGACCCTCGTCAAGTGCCCACATCGACCGCTTTCTTGTCCTCAGAACCTTTACGCGAGAGCTTGAGGGTACTGGGCTGTCCGGCCCTTTTGCATGATCCTGATTTCGTGGCCTCAGGCTCTGGGTCGTTGTGGCTTTGTCGTAACCGGGCGCCTTGGATTTTTGATTTGAAAAATGGAAGTCGGAAAAGGCGAACCGAGCCAATGAGGCTTGGAAACGTTCGGAGACCTTGGAAACTTCAGGTGCTTCATGTTGCTCCGTGATTACGGAGGTTCCGGAAAGTGGGTCCTCCTCGTCTCTTGGTTTGTGTTTTGGCGCCATGAGTTTCAAGAAACGCGCCCGTGTCCCTATAGACGATCAAAGTAGTCTGTCAAGGTGGCAATCATGTCGCGTCGGAGTGAGCAAGGTGGTGGTTTGAGTTCAATGTTTGGCCTAAGGGCATCGCTTTTCACTGACCTGCACAAATTAGAAAGATTTTTACCTCCAACGTTATCAACCCCACGCAATCTCTTGAAAATCTGATTCTCGATAAACGTTCACAAGATGATATATATTTGGTGGCCTATGGCCAACAGTGTTACGCTTGTCTGAATCTCCCAAAAAAAACTGACTTGAAGCATTCGAATGTACGATGACAATAATAATCAAAAGCATGGTTAGGCCTGGGTTAGGCCCAGGAAAGTATGCGGTTGAGCTTTTCGAACTCGCTCACTGCCATCCGAGTCCTCAGTCGCAGCCGTTAGGCAGTGCGGAAATATGTCATTAGAAGACCTCTCATGTGTAGGGCATGCAACTCGTTTTTTGGTTTATAAAATTTCCGTGTTAGTTTGGAGAGTATGGAGACGAGATCGGCATCCAGCTGGTGGTTGTTAAGATGCAAAAGATGTGTGTATTGCGTAGTACATAACAAAGAGTTCGTCGACACATAGATCGAGCCTACATGAGACCTCTGCATGGAGAGGGGTGTCGATTACACATGAAGGCTGTGGAGCGGGTATAGATGGGAGGATGGCATGCACTGAAGTCTCGAAAGACACCTTAGCATGGGTGTCTGCAGCAGTAGCGAGCCAGGGTACTACTTTGTGGGTCCAGGAAACCATTTTTGGACGTCTGCAGTAGTAGGACGCGCGGGGCGTCTTTCTAGTTTGTAAAGACATGATAATGTATTAACATTGTAAGTCGGGAGCAGCAAAAGCATGAGTAGAAGGAACGTACATTGGGCGGCCGATACAGTAGAGAGCTCTCTAATCTCATCTTTTTTATCCAGGGTGGCGCTTTTTCCAACCCTCGCAGAACCTTTGGCAAGTCTCCGTACGGCGGGTTTCATTGAAGGTAGGTTTGCCAGCTGAAGGAACTCTTCCAGACGACGCTCCAATGTCGGGGTGCGAGGTGGCTTTTACCTCTCGAATGGAAGATGCCAGAAAAGTATGCTGAGTCCGTCACCGACCCATACACAGTTCATGTGGAGCACTGCGTTGCTTGATCAAATCAAAGACGGTCCAAGCTTCTCCTATAGATGTCGTCTTCTGGGTTGGAGAATCCCAGTCTGACGCCCTCTTAAACCATCCAGGCCTCATTCATGGGGAACCCGTAAACCTTGATGATGTCCATGGCGTTGAGATGAGAGGCCAGAAATGGTGATGAAGTTGAATAAACGTTGAGTATTTGAATTTATTTATGTGAATTTGTGCCTGTGACGATTCTGTGTCACTGTGGGTGACACAGAATCGTCACTTGTTTATAATTGCACCTGGCCGTTTTCCGTTAGTTACTTACCTGGCTGTGAGCAACGCCAGTGAGTACTAGGACTCGGAGGGTAGGACCATCCACCGTGTGCCCACTTTCAGATGCTTCTTTTTTCCACCACCGTCCGACGTTGCGGCCTACCAGCACCCTTGGCCAAGGAAGAAAACCGCGCTGAGGCAGTTTTGCTCTCTCTCTCAGATCGTTGAACCACGTGTGTGTTCATTGCAAATGATGTTGGCCTCGGATACATGAGAGGTGGAGCTAATGAGTAATCAAGTACGTGTCTCTCAGATTCATCCAGTCCTCTCTGACAACTTGTATTGCCCGTCATCCAGTGCCGCTCAAGTCTTTTACTGATGCATACCGGTCACCGCCCGTAAATTCTACCTCTGCGACGCAAACTCAAACAGCATATACACTGCTCGTCAACGTTTCGATCATAGGTTGAAACATTGACGATTGGCGGACGAGTCCGGAAGATTGCATCACGTACCGTACGTCCACGCTCTACCCTTTCTCAGATCTAGTTTTCTGACATTGCATTCATTAGTACGATACCATTCCCTCGGACTCGGTTCACGCACACTAGGGATAATCGATAAGCTCCGGTCCCTACCTACGACGATGTGTTGAGGACATTGTAGCAGAAATGAGATTTTGATGAGGTGCGCACAGAGAAGAGGGTAGTTGTGCAGGAACAGGGTCAAGGCCAGTGTTCTATCGCAGGTATGGACGTCAATTCTTCCGGGGGTCAATTCCTGCTAATATCTCTGCCGTTTTAGGCCATTTCCTTTTGGTCAAGCCAAAGATCAACCAAGACACTTTCAACGCCCGACGTACTCGACTCAGTACGGCGCTTCAAATCACCTTGGGCTACCTCCAGTATTGAGACCACTGGGAATCTTCTTGTAAGTCCTCTTTCTTTGGGTACGGCTCCAACTTGAACATTTCTGGCTTTCGACGACGAACTTATCACATTATCGTTTTGCAGGATCAATGACGTGGCAACTCTGAGGCGTCGAGTTTACACAAATGAGCACACCGTCCTGTAGGTGATGAACAAACGCCTGCTTCGAATGTCAGTGCGAAGGATGATGTGCTTGCCCGTGCCAACCCCTCTGGCCGTCTGGTGTTCCGTGATTCGTGCCGATGTTTTCCTTGGGTCCTCCCCACTTAGATTCCAGCACTCCACCAACGGCTCTCCTTAACGACAGCTATCCAGCGCAGTGCTTCCAAGCCCAGCCAAAAAACATCACAACTTACGATCACCGACGGAATGGGCCTGTGCTGAAGGAAACCAAGGTCATCCTGGTGACCCCCATCATTTATCATCTGTTACAACGTATGAAACACAACGCGCACTCCTACGGATTCGTGAGGAGGATGGTAGCGAGAGGGGCGAGAAGGAATGTGAGGGACGATGGATGACAGGAGATAGAGCCAGAATGACGTGTAGCGTGATAGGGTGGGTAGGTCCTACTTGGGAAAGACCCAGCTAGGTGTGCTCGCCTTTGCGATTTAATGTTCGTTTTAGCTTGTCTCCATAGCGAATCCACTGCCCTTGTGAATATTTGACATGAAATGTTGTCTCTTCGTCGCCTTGAGTCCGCTGAAAGTCATTGTTTTCCCTTTCTCGCACTTCTCTGTTGACCACCATTTTTTCTGGCGCTTCCAGGTGCTTCGACTTGGCGCCCACTGCGCGTTAAATGTCAGCTGACCCCTGGACCGGCGTGCGCCGCACAGCATCGACGCTCTCTTCTGAACCACGATGTCTGATCTTAATCGCCCCCGCAAAAATCATTTGAAAGGAGAGTCCAAGAAATTACCTGATCGCCTCATGGACGCAAATCACCCACATGATGAACGCCCTGGCGGTTTGAGGTGGGAGTTCATGACCCCCACGCCCGCAGATGGCATCCTGACGAGATCTTGTTTACAAGGGCGCCTGAAGTTACGGGAGAGGGTTCCTCTATGGTGCGTTTATAATGTGTAAACAAATTCATTCGCTCATTTCCTTTGTCTCCGGGAATCCCAGAATGTCTTGCAGGGAGCGCACAACTTTGAAATAAGGGATTCAATATTCTATATCGCTAAAAATGTGTGTCCTTTGATCCGAACAGCATTGATCGTTTGAAATATTGACTGAAATTTTTGTCAAGATGGAGGTTCATGAACATCGGGGTCAAGGTGAGATAAACTTTCCCAACGGAACATAGCTCTAAGCTTCGTGGCGCTCATATACCCACAGATTCCATCGAAAAGCTCAATCACGAAATGACGTCATATAAAACTCGACAGTCGTCTTACGGCGACCCCACCGGCTGCATGCAAGGGACCCGCGTAAACGTCCTCGAACAGTTGGACACTTGGGCCTCGGACATCAATAGCAGCAGGGTATATTGGATGGTAGGTATGGCGGGAATCGGAAAATCGACCATCGCGCACACGTTCTGTGAGCATCTCGAGGCGAAAAACATTCTTGGTGGCAGTTTCTTTGCTTCTCGAGCATCGGAGAAAACTAGGAACGCACGCCTTATTATTCCTGTTATTGCACACTCGCTGGCGAGAGCTTCACCTGCTATCAAATTTGAGGTTGTTAAGGCCATCGAGGACGACCCTACTCTGGCAGAACCAACATATTCTAACATGAAGGAGCAGTTCAAGCGGCTGGTTTATAATCCTGTTCGAACGACCATCGGCCCGGTCGTGGTGGATAAAGTTGTTGTTATTGATGCCGCTGATGAATGCGCCAACCTTGAAGTCGTCGCGCTGTTCATTAAACTTGTTCTTGAATGGGCGTCGAAAATTCCGCTCAAGATATTCCTAGCCAGCCGAGATGAGAATCGGATTCGCACTGCCTTCAGGTCTACTAGTGATAGCATTCGAGGGTACTTCTATCTCCATGACATTGAGAAGGACATAGTCCAGAATGATATCCGGATATATCTCAGGACATCATTGGCCCATATCAAGAATGACGAACTGTCCAGTCTCGTCACAAGTTCTGGCAGGCTCTTCATTTATGCAGCAACTGCTGTTCGGTATATCACCAATGGTGGTGAAAACTATAAGCCCTGTCTCTCTGCAATGCTGGCCCATGGCCGGAAATCAATTAACAAGTTCGAAACCGAGATCGATTCTCTCTACATACATGTCTTGGAAAAGGCCTGTGAAGACAAGGAGCCAGATGAAGTTGAAGATATGAGAAATGTCTTGTCAATCACCATATTCCTTCAAAATCCATTGTCGATGGAAGCCACTTCGTCTCTATTACCGGAAAGCAATGTGCAGTCATATTTGTCATGGCTCACCTCTGTTATTCACATTCCTGATCAACCTGGGGCTGTGGTCGCTCCATTCCATGCCTCATTTCCTGACTTCATTACCAATCCAGTCCGGTGTTCTCCTGAGCGTTGCCCATCATTCCCTTCGCTGGTTGCTTCTGAGGGTCATACACTGATCACTCTTAAATGTTTAATGCTGATGAACAACTCACTGAAGTACAACATATGTGAAGTCCCCAAACAATTGACATTGTCACGCAGAGACAGGGCCAACTCTCCAGAGAGCATTGGCAAAATTTCTGAAGTGCTCAAATACTCATGCACCTATTGGGCTGCTCATTTAGGAGAGGTCAAGAAATTTGACCCTGTACTTGTTGACGCTCTTCGCATTTTTCTGCACAAGCATCTTTTGCACTGGATAGAGTGTCTCAGCATACTGGGTGAGCTGCAAACAGGACTGAAATCCCTGGGTGGTGTAATCACTGTTTTATTGGTAAGTTATTTGCCATAATGAAGGATAAAACATTGTGAGTCTAATAATATTCTGATTGACAGGCCTTCAAATTCCATGACTTTCAGTTACTTGTTCATGATGCCCGCCGGTGTTTACAAATGAACTTTGAAGCTGTCCAGAAACATTGCATGGAGATCTATGAGTCTGCACTTATTTGGATTCCAAAGAATTCATCAATACACAAGACCTACATTGCTGATGTCAGCAGAGTTCCAAAAGCTACTCTTGGATTATCGGACTTGTGGGACCCTGCAGAGCTGATTATGCAAAATGGGTCACTGGTAGCATCTGTTGGGTTCTCACAAGATGGCAGCCAAGTTGTCTCTGGATCGAATGACAACACTGTCCGAATTTGGAATGTGATGACAGGTGAGGTGAAGGCTCTGCTGAAGGGCCACACAGATTGGGTGAACTCTGTCACATTCTTGCAGAATGGCAGCCGAGTTGTCTCTGGATCAAATGACAACACAGTCCGAATTTGGAATGTGATCACAGGTGAGGTGGAGGCTGAGCTGAAAGGCCACACAGATTGGGTGAAGTCTGTCACATTCTCACAGGATGGCAGCCGAGTTGTCTCTGGATCAAATGACAACACAGTCCGAATTTGGAATGTGATCACAGGTGAGGTGGAGGCTGAGCTGAAAGGCCACACACATTGGGTCAACTCTGTCACATTCTCACAGGATGGCAGCCGAGTTGTCTCTGGATCGTCTGACAAAACAGTCCGAATTTGGAATGTGACCACAGGCAAGGTGGAGGCTAAGCTGAAGGGCCACACACATTGGGTGAAGTCTGTCACATTCTCGCAGGATGGCAGCCGAGTTGTCTCTGGATCACATGACAAAACAGTCCGAATTTGGAATGTGACCACAGGCAAGGTGGAGGATACACTGAAGGGCCACACACATTGGGTCAACTCTGTTGCATTCTCACAGGATGGCAACCGAGTTGTCTCTGGATCGTCTGACAAAACAGTCCGAATTTGGAATGTGACCACAGGCAAGGTGGAGGCTAAGCTGAAGGGCCACACACATTGGGTGAATTCTGTTGCATTCTCACAGGATGGCAGCCGAGTTGTCTCTGGATCATATGACAAAACAGTCCGAATTTGGAATGTGACCACAGGCAAGGTGGAGGATACGCTGAAGGGCCACACACATTGGGTCAACTCTGTTGCATTCTCACAGGATGGCAGCCGAGTTGTCTCTGGATCGTCTGACAAAACAGTCCGAATTTGGAATGTGACCACAGGCAAGGTGGAGGCTGAGCTGAAGGGCCACACAGGTTGGGTGAATTCTGTTTCATTCTCACAGGACTGCAGCCAAGTTGTCTCTGGATCATCTGACAAAACAATCCGAGTTTGGAATCTGACAGCAGGAAATTCTCAATCAATACTCACTTCAGACACCACATTGCCCGATGGCAGTAGGGTGAATATATCTACCCATGGGACATTCCGCATCATCTATCCGTCACAGCAACCTACGCTTGGCATGAATTTCTCTACCCAGTTATCAGATGATGGTCACTGGATAATGGCCAACCACCGTGACTGCTGTATCCCCTCTCAATATCGCAACTTTCGGTGTTGCTCAATTTGGGGCAGCCGAATATGTTTGGGGTACAACTCTGGCCGTGTAGTTGTTGTTGATATGAACACAGCATTATGAATAGTATCAGTATGTTTTCATGTAATGCCTGCATTGTAAATACTAAAAACTTACCTTGAGCCTGAGGGCCATCACCTGGCATTACCAAGTCCAGTTCCTGTTTGTTAAGTCATTGTCTTGTTCGAAATATTGTCTGCTTCCAACTTGTTAAGTAGAAAAATAATTCAAATGTCTTGTGCACATGGAAACAACATGGAAATCAAAAGCACTGGGACTTAACCCTTACTATGCCCTACCAGGACCTCAGCACCCCCTCTCAGTCAGCACATTTTTGAGTTCGAACCCTTCTGCCAAACCTCTTGCCACAAAATTTTAGAGAGGACCTCCTGGGCCTAATCCAACCTAATTCCGCTTTTCTCTGTCCAGAGAAACTGACGAAGTTCTGTTATTTCGGCAGTCACAATCTGTCACGTTCCTCTGCCAAAAAATGTGATGTTTTGTGACTGCCGACTGTGCAGGGGTGCCGAGGTCCTGGTAGGGCATAGTATGTGGCTGAGTTTGGATTGTAGGGCAGGAAGTTCTCATGAACATTAAGTTGTAAAGTATTAAAAGCAAACCAATGAGATCGATTTGAGAACGAACAAATTTATGAACATGAAAAGGAGACGAACACTGCTAGAATCCAACACACAATTTGAGTTACCTTGTAACAGTGGTTGTAACTTTCTCAACCTGTTCCAGCTGCCTTCCGCCATGCGTTCATATAATCCCCCCACCTCGCGTCTTCAATCCCTGAGCCCTTGTCCTTCCATGGCACTTACAGTGAGGTCTTTATTGTCCTCCACTGATTCCTGCCGGAATCCGGGCAATTCCTGGAATTCCGGAGGAATCAAATTTGGCAGAGGGCCCTGCCAAATTGATCAAACCATTCCGGCGGAATTTTGATGGAATTCAAATTCTGCCAGAATGGTTCCAGGAATCACCCGGAAGGAATGATCCCGGAATGAGACGGAACAGAATTCCTGACGCCCAAATCGAGTGTCGGCGTTTGCCGATGCTTGATTTGGGCGTCATCAACAAACAACTCCCACTCTCTCAACCACCACCATCATCCACGACGCCAACCCACCTCGCGACACTGCCACGTCACCAACGGCCACCACGACGCACACAACGACGACCGTCGTCGTTTCACCACGACCCCAACACAACACCACGGCCACGACACGGAAACGACGCCCCAACGCCACGTCACCAGCCTCAGTAAACGAGCGCGCCAACACGTTGCCACGTCGCTATCAGCGACGTGGTAACCAGACGACGAACGACGCAAGTCGTCGTTCGTCGTCATAGGTGAGCACCCCTCATCCCAAGCTCGTCCCACCCAGCCTGCTAACACCAGGCACACGACGAGGGACAACCACGTCAACGCACGACCACGACCACCACGCCCACAGACGACGACACGCCTCACCACATCAACGGAGGGCCACGCCAACAAACGACACGCCCACGACGACACCACCACCACGTCAACGGGCGACGACCGCGTCAACGGACGCCCACGTCAACGGACGACGACGACGTCAACAGACGACGAGCACGTTAGTGGACAACGAGCGACCACCGCCATGTCAACAGACGACGACGACGAAGCCAACGGACGACGACAACGCCAATGGACGACGCCAACGGCCGACGACGACAACGCCGCCAACAGACGACAACGCCAACAGACGACGTCAACGATGCCAATGGACGGCCACGTCAACGACGACGAGCGTGTCCCGCTCCACCACGTACACATGGCGACGAGTGTTGTCCCTCCCCCTTTTCTTTCCCTCCCCCCTTCCTCCTTTCCTTTTCCCTTCCCCTGTCCCTCCCCATTT